CGTGGAGGACTTGTCATGGTTGTAGATGTTGTGGCTGGACAAGAAGGGCTTGGTGTTGGGGACCCACAGGTTGGAAGAACCCGTGTCAAACACAACCAGCTCCTTCTGCCCGGGCGTGCCCACCTCGATCTCGCCGTAATACTGCGCATTCCTGGGCCATTGCAAAATGACTTCACAAAGGACCCTGCTATCCAAGACGTCTCGGAAATACTGGTAAAGTCTTGATCTGTTCATTATTCACTCTAATACGGCAGCGTCAGGACCTATATACATACCCTTCTCTGACTCAGAGACCCTCCATGAAGGCGACCAACAACGTGTCGAACATCGAGCTATGAAATCTTGCCCAGCTCTCCTCTTCAAAAACCAGCAAAATCAAATACAGAAACCCAAAAAGTTCAAAGTCCCCCCTTTCGAGAAGTCAAAATTGCCGCCTAAGCTCATGTAGTCGTCGATGATCACAGGGTCGTCGCCCTTTGCGCCCAGGCGGGCCTCCCATTTCAAACTCGCCCTGAACCCTACGTAAGCCCTAGACCCTACACCCGCGGCCCTAATCCCTAAACCATCTGGCGGGCCTCCCATTTCAAAACTCCCATGTTTACCGAGTCTAAGGCTTCCTCGAAGGTGAGCTCGCGCTTCCTCTCTGTTTCGAGTAAGGACGGTTTTTTTGGTTTACCTATAGGAGATGAAGTTGACAAGAAGTAACAATATCAATTTCATCCCCAAATTGCACAACTGTGTACTACATTTATGGTCAACTGAGGCCTCCATGTAGGGTTTAGGGAAGAAACCTTCTCGTGGCTCTGTGAGGTACAGGCTGCGTAATAGACACGGAACCCATAAGAACGCTTAGATGTGCTGAGCTTTTAGAGATTCTACAGCTGAGCAAGCCACCCAACAAGCAAAAAACCCAAAGCCCTAAACCCCAAACCCCTAAAACCTAAACCCTAAACCCAAAAAACGGGGGACAAAACAAAAAGCATCCTTTTTCAAGAGCCAGCTTCTGAAGGGGCACATGGATCACCGCTGCCACGGCAGCGGTGGATGCCACGGCCACCACGCTTCGAAGAGCTCGCGCCATGTGGTCAGGGACTGACTGGGAGAACTTCTTGGCAGTTTTGAGGCAGTTGCTGCAAGTGAGGAATAGAGATATTAAGGTTCAGGGCTTATAGCTCTACAGCTAATTCAGTAACCCCAAAAAATCTTTGGAAAGAAGAGGGGGCGGGGGCTCGTATCTCCAGAGGTCCATCTGTGCAACTTCTTTAACATGCTCAGGTCTGCAGGGATTGTGGAATGCGCATAGTAGCCTTTGATGTTGCCCAGAAGCTTTATGAGCCGCTGTTTAAACTCCTAGTACCCCCTTAATAACCCCTGTGGTAGTATGACCATCTTCAAGGAGTTTAGACTACAGCCTTATGGGCCCAAGAAACCTCAAAAAAGCTGGGAAGAGCTCATTCAGCTCCTGTGAAGGCGTACCCTAGAAAACTATAGCTGTAAGCCCTAAACCTTAAAGCCCAACCCTAACCCTACAAACCTTAGAACTCCTATACGAAAGTACGCTTAACAGAAAAGCCCCGCAACACCTTTACTGCACTGTAAGAGCCATACCTTGCATTGCTGTAGAGGCCTATGTAATTCCCAGGGTTTGGGGTTTAGGGTTTAGGGTTTGGGGTTTAGGGTTATTACGGTTCTGAATTCCCTGTATAACTCTGGTATTACAATACCCCTCGGGCGGATCTTGGTTCTCATTTAAGGCTCTTACAGTAGTTCCAGGACCCTAGGGCCCTAGGGGGTGGATGGGGTCCTTCATGAGTAGCCATCTTTCCTTACAGTACCGTGGAACCCGAAGAACATGAAAGCCATGAAGCCATCAAGCTTCACAGATTAGTATGCCGACTTAAGAATAGGCTCTCTTTGGAACAGCTGCCTAGTTCTTCTTGCCTGGGTCCCAAGGTACACAGTGAACCCTCAATCCTAAACCCTCAGCTATACCGTGACTTGCCAAATTTAGGGTTCAGGCTTAGGGTTTAGGGTTTGGGGGCTAGAGACAAGAATCCTTTCGCCATCCCCAGACATTGCGCTCTGTGCGCTCTTTTTGGGGCTCAGTTTTTGGAGAACCCACGCTTTCTGGTGACTATCTGGGAGGTTCCCATAATAGAGCCCTAGCCCCCTTCAAGAAGTACACCTCTACATGCGATTAAGGATGCCACTATGGGCAAATTATCTTTCTCAATAAAGGGGTATTCGGGCCCTGAGTCTAGGACAACCGTCAATCCCCCTAATCAAACCCTCAACTCAAACTCCAAAACGTTAAACTCTAAAACCATATACCTACAAACCCACTAAGCCTAAAGAGCCTTAAACCAGAACAGCTAAACCCTACTATATACTTAACTAAGTAACCGTAAACCTTCACCTCATGAACCTTTCAACCTACTAACCCTAAACCTAAAACTCGAAACCTAGACACCCTACGTACAGCCCTGAACCCTAAACCCAAAAATCCTAAAACCCTAAACCCTAAATCCCAAGAACCTAAACCTTAAACCCCTAAGCCCCAAACCCTAAATCCTAAATCCCTTGAATCCTTAATCTCCAAGCCAGAGCCCCTCTCGGGACCGTACCCAACTACCGAGCTCCCACACCTCGGGGCTTTAGGGTTTGGGTTTTGGGTCTCAGGATTTAGGGTTCGACGTTTTCTTGCGGGATCATTGGGCTCGCAAGGTCTGAGGGATTTTGGGTCTAAGGGTTGCTCGGATTCTACCCCATACATAGGTCTCTATATAAGATTGTGCTTTTGGAGAACAGTGATTTCTGCCAAGCGCCACATATCAGACATGTTTGGGCTTTGAAGGTTCAACGTTCAGGGTTCAGGGTAGGTCTACGCCCCATACAAGTACATATATGCCAGGGTGCACGCCTCAGCGTTTAAGGTTCAGGGTTTCGGGCAGGAATCTACCCCATGCATGTGTATGTAGAGCTGTCGGGTATAAGTTCTGAGCTATAGGATTGAGGGCTTCAGGATTTAAAGGTTGTACCCTCTAGGACCTGTATTGCATCCACAACCGCAAAAACCTCAGCGTCCACGTTCCAAGAGCCAGATTTCAGATCTATAGGGCCCCAGCGTTTCAGGGGGTTTAGATAGGTACCCCCTAAACCCTAAACCCAATTTTGATTCAAGGCTTATGAGTTTAGAGCTTGTTCCTTGGGATGTGGGGGCTTAGGGTTCAAAATCTTGCCGAATGAAAGTAGAAAGGTTAGAATTTCAGTTCCAAGGATTAGAGATCAGGGTTTCTGGCCTTTGCTGCATGATTCTGGCGGGTGTCTCAAAATGAGGGCTGGGGTTTTGGATGGTTTCAGAAAAAAAAAACTCATGAGTTCGAGGATTTTGTTTGGGCCGATGGCTTTCGAGTTCGGGGACCCTAAACCCTAAACCTTAATCCCTAAACCCTGAACCCCTAAACCCTAAACCCTAAACCCTAAACCCTGAACCCCTAAACCCTAAACCCTGAATTTAGGGTTTATAAGGATTTTCACCTTGCGGTTCAAGGCCTGAGGCTGCTTCAGCTCACAGGGACTGCATCGTGCCATGAACTTCATGGCATCTTTGGGCATAAAACCCCTAAACCCTTTTTTTTGAACCCACCCTAAACCCTAAACCCCTAAACCCTAAACAGAAAACTCTTCAGTGCGAAAGGGGAATTCTACACGATTCTTGGAAAGATCATGAACTTTACGTGTTTTTTTTGCGTGAATGCCTCTAGACCAGCACACAGCCTGTGGAGTGTAGGGTGGCAGGGCTTGCTGGGACCGTGCCTTGAACTGAGGGCACCATATGGTTGGTTGTCAAAATTATGGTCCCTTTTTGGATCCCTATTATAATACGGCCCCTAGTATTTAGGGTACCCAAAAAGGGACCATCATGTTGACAACCACCCATATCTAGTATAGCTACGGGCCCCAAAACCTACAACGCTTGAAGCCTGGATTCTCTTCCCAAGACCTCGTATTTCTTACTATGTCGGCATTTAGGATTAGAGGCGGTGGGGCCTGTGCATTAATAGAGGGTGTGGTGATTCGGAAGTGCCCAAACTCTGACGTCAACAGGCCCACCCATACCACTCCACCGACGGTTCAAACTCAGCCAGCCTGGGAGAAAAGCCTTGTAGACATGTAGATGTAGCTTTAGGGTCCACGGTTTAGGATGTACAGGTTTTTAAAAAAGTTCCGAGTTTTGCAATATGAGCTGCAAAGGTCAGTGGAAGTCCATGAAAGATCCTCTCTACCTATTTAGCACGTGTCAACCTTGAATCTTCCCCATGTAGTATTCCCAGTACTATTACTACTACCATTAGGGTTTAGGGTTTAACCCTATTATTGCCATTCCTATGTCCACTGCGTAGTTTTCATTTCAAATTGCAACACTTCCAGTAACGTTGAAGCCTTGAACCCTCTAAACCCTAAACCCTACATTACTGCTGTTGAAGCCCTAAACCCCTAAACCCTACATTACTAATGTTGAAGCCCTCAAGTTCCAGAGGCGGCCAAGAGGCCATTCGAAACTGAGCCACGCCGGAGGGTATCGGAACCCGAGCCTACCCATCCAAGCTTGCTTTTGTTATGGGTGGTATCCCAAATCTAGGGTTTAGGGTTTAGGGTATAGTCCCCCTCAAGTAGATAGAATATGGCTTTGGGTACAGCATGATAAGATCTCCCTATACCCCATAGTCTATCTACTTAAGGGGGGCTATAGGGGTTCCGTGGTTTTAGGGTTTTGGCCTTTTGGGTTTTTAGGGTGCTGGATTGGGGTTTCTCGCTTCGGGTTTAAGTCTGCATGGTATAGGTAGGATTAGGGTTTAGGATTTAGGGAAGGCTGCGCAAAACGGCTATCTCTTCCCCTGTCGTGAAGCACACCCACCCAGCCCCAAACCTTAAACCCCAACAAACCCTGCCCTGATAAACCCTGAACTCTAAACCCTAAACCGAGGCGGAGGTGTTTGATGACAGCAGGACGAGATTTTCTCCCGACAGCCCTAAACCCCAAACCCACACACCCTAAACTCTAGAACCTAAATACCCTAAACCTCACTTGAGGAATTCTCCACTCTTGTCCGCTTATATTCTGCAGGCATGCGCTCAACGTCTCCTGACGCAAAGTTTTGGACCCTGCAGCAGTACATGAATTCCAGCAATTTTCGCAGCTTGCTGAGTTCTGGCGTAACACATGACGCAGAGATGCTGGGCGCCAATAGGCTCGCCTTCTTACATGGTCTGTCCACAGTGAGGTTTTCCTCCACGAAGTTGACCTAAACCCTAAAGCCTAAAACCCTAAACCCTTAAACCCTAAACCCTTAAACCTAAACCCTAAACATGGAGGAGCAAATCAAATTGAAGGTGCGTCCGCCATGCTATGGGCCGTCTCCGACTCCCATATGTTTTTCTTGCTAGTGGACGGCAGGCAATAAGGGAATCTAGTATATATAGGGGTTATA